CCAAAAGTCTCAGAGAATTTCGTGAAGCCTGGTACCCAAGTGAATCAACAATTTGCAAACAAATTAATATACACCAAATTTACCAGCTAATAGAAAATCACATGACAAGGAAGTTCAAATTCCAAGTCAATAAAAATGATCAATAGAGATGTAAATCAACTACAAGTTACAAAGATGGTTGTCAGGAGACACAATTATATCATTCATGGAGAATCCAAATGAGTTCACTTCACACTCAAGCCTACACTGAAGATGTTGTCCAGACGGAGGACAAAAGCTTCGCAATTAAATCAACCAGCTCAGAGAACGTCACTAATTACAAATCATCCACCTTAGCTACAAATCTTCTCTATTATTTCAATACTCTAGTCCATAGGAGATAAAATATTGAAGATCACATTAAAAGCGATCACGGTATATAGATGAATCGAAATGTTACGTCAGTAAAATATAAATATATTGCTGTAATTCTGTACTAAAAGTGATCAAACTTTGATGATATAAGATGGTTGGAGGCAATCGGCAGCAAGCCTTGGACCTAGGTTTCGCGCTAGTTAGCACTTGTCAGCACATTGCAAACCTGACTGATGGAATTCAGTCTGCACCAAAGAAAGGACTACACATCAAGCTAGTTACTAGTGTCCAATCAAAGTATCCACTACAGTCCTACAGGAGGTCAGTCGCGAGCCCGATTATATATATATACATATATAGTCATTTATTTGGTACCAGACATATGAAGCATGACGTTTAGGTGAATGATGATGCAACTACTAGGTAAGAGTGAAAAGAAATCGACATTTACACTAAATAAAAGCTGATTTAATCAATTAGGGTTAAGAAACGAGTTATCAAGGAAGAAAAAGAAATTAATAAAAAGATTAACTTTCATTATTCAAAGTTGTAAGCATTTGATAATATGCCAACAAAATAAAAATTCATCAAATTCATACATTTGGTTCCCTTGATAAATTTCGATAAAGAAAGGAAGACGAAATTTGCAGTATAAAATGATATCATTCTATTTCACAGGTTTTCATCAGCATGAAATGAAAGCATTACATGCTTTCATTTAGATGCGTCAATTTTATAGTATCTCTTCTCTACCACCACTCAAACATTAAAGTAGTCTGCAGCTGATGAGAACCTGTGAAATAGAATGATATCATTTAACACTGCAAATTTCGTCTTCTTTTCTTTATTAAAAATTCATCCTTCTTATCCTACCAATGGACGAAAAAATATCGGCTTTCAAGCTTTAAGCTCCGAAATTTTAGTAGCAGTGGTGTTGTTTCTTCGAGGTGAGGTTTGTATCCTTACGCCCAACGTTCTCTACTTTCCGGGTTTACAACTAGCTAGTACACTAACCGGGAGTCGAACCCCAGTTGTGTTAGTTACTGACGCAACCACCCACATTGCTTGATCGGTACTAAGTCCGGTGAAGAAGGAAGATTGGGCATGAGGTTAACAACCCCACTCCATAAAAACAACACCACTACTGGAACTTCAAAGGTGAAACTTGAAACCCTATGTTTCAGTCGGAACACAAAGAAATGAGAAAAAGTTTTATCCTGCTGCTTGTGTGGTCAATGCTTTGTTGAAAATAATCTATATTATTCTATTGGACATCAAGTTGACACAATCAACTTCTCAGAAACTTTAAGTGTTTTCCTACTAACAGACTTAAGCGCTTGTTTCAGTAGACTACGGTGAAGCATAATGCGATAATGTACAACGGTAATCACACTACAAGCTTAATACATTTATTCTGATCACCACTAAACTTTATGGTATTGGAAATGAGTAAAAATGAACTCTAGAAATATTTCTAGGGACTTAATTGATCTCAAGTTAGACATTAGGGATTGACATCATTGACAGAATTAAAGGAAACCAAGGAGTAATGGAAGGCTGTTTCATCCTAGTGTAGGACTCCTCATCAGTACTTACACACACGATCCCATTGAAGATCGAGCCCAGAGCCTTTAGGTTACGAGGCAAGCCAGCTAGTCATTCAGCCACTTGGTCAGAATCAGAAGTACCATGTATTCTAACTTCTGTCAATCAGTGATATATAGTGCCATTGGTGAACCCCACCGATAACGATTTCTCACTCAAAGAAATCCATTGTGATTTGAATATATATGTAGATGCAATTTAATTCCATTGTTCAATCGCCACATGACTAGTTCTAACTTGATTTTACTTGCTGAAAAGCATCAAATACTCCCTGATTTTTACGCGAAAATAGTATGAAATAAACAGGCGCACAAGAACTGGCAAATGGGGTACTGTATGTGTGACACTATTATTACTATGTGTTATTTGAAAGAATTACAAAATAACGGCTTTTAGACATTCAGTCTTGTGATATCTGATCTCTTGATTGTATAATTCATAATTAAATTTAGAGAAGTTACAATTTACGCAAAACACACTGACTTAATATAAATAGTTTAACGTTATTGTCTCAATGACGAAAACAATTTGTGTGTGTTCACCAACTTGAGAATGAATAGGAAGTATTACTTGACAATTTAATTTAATAGAACACGATTTAGACAGGCAGACAGGTATTATCGGTAAGTTCTCATTAGGGTTTTACACTTATGTAATAAAAATTTCAGTCATAGGCATTTGAAACAATATGGATCAATAGAATCAAGGAGAATGCGAGTGGAACAATAATAATAAAAAATTGTGAAACCAAGACTAAAGTATGAGTCTACAGCACAGTTTGATATTGATAATGCAGTTAGCAGTACACATAAAAATATTTACACTTATCCAGTGTCACCGAGATAACTATTCTAGGTTGGGGTTGAAGGTCATGGAAGGGAAGGGAAGGAAATCGAACAAACTTTTTCTAAACACAAAAATCGAACTGAAAATGCTTTATAGCAACTGCTTCAGCTACGCTTAACAATCGAGGGCGTAAAAACTTAGAGAATTTAGATGGCACCCTGTCTCGAATTGTATAGATGAAATTTGTATTAATCTTGTGATCCACATCCACAAGGTGGGCCAATATACAACTCCTCACTAACTTTAAGACTCCTTTACCTAACCGCATTGGACAATGCTCAAGAAAGCGACGGTGGGGTTTCCGAGTCGTTCTACTTACTTAACTGTCTTCATCTACCTCTCAATGTCATAATATGGAGGAACTGGGTTAGCATGATTAACACACTGAAGTTTGCATATCTACTTATACCGATATACTGTAGCTTCGCATTATCTTTCATACAAAACATTAATTAATTTTTGTGTAAATTTTACGGATCTTAAAATAAGGAAGTAAGAATTATTTACACAAAGGTAATACGATTAAGTAATTATCAGCGAAGTGATCTAAGAAACAAGGAACACTCTTGAAGTAATTTGGTGGTGACCAGCAGTTGAATCCAGGATGTGCATTTCCTCCCCTCGGGAATTGTCATCTGGATGTATCTGTATTCCTCAGTGAGTTCAAATTGAATTAGGTAAAGAACACTCATGTTTCTTTCTTATTAGACGTATCGAAAGTAATTCAGAAAATTCAGTCATACTGTAGCTCATCCTTGTCGATCAAAAAAATAAGGTTTATATTGAAATTCACTTATGTTCATGGTGTCTACATCAATGAACTATTCTTTGATCGTTAAAGGATGAACTACAAGATTCAGTTTTTTTAAAAAGGTGAAGAAAGAACCTGACATAATCTTCCTACTTAACATCAGTCCAGCAAACTTGTGGAGATGTGGTTCACTAGTCTAAGAACTTGATTTCGAACCTCACCCTACCTATATGGGTTTGGGCAATTAGGTAATTTTACCAATAGCCACCTCACACAAAGATGAGGCTCACTGTCAGTTGCACAGAAGTGTAATAGTTCAAGTTGCCACAGTGCATATAGGGAAAGAAGAACTATAATTATCAGAAATATGCAGGAGAAAGAATAGTAACACGGGAAAACACGTGGAGATAGCAAAGATTAAATGCATCTGCACCGCTGATAACGATTTTGAGTCATATCATCAACAGTTTCCAACCATTGGATTTTCGCATCTCGAGGACTCCAACCAGGCAGTCTACACTTCTCTAAGTGGCTTGCTTAAACCAACTGTCAAAGACATTGTGGATTGACTTCAGTTTTCGATTTGACTACCTCTAACTCTTTTCTAACCCAATGCGATATTAGCTAATATTGCTTGTCGAGGACAGAATGAGTAACACATGTCCTAGCCATTTCAATTGATGTGTCTTCACAACCTCATCAATTGACTTTATCTCCTTATCTAACACTCGGCGCCTAACCTCCAAATTACTCACCCTATTATACCATGTAACACGGGAGATAGAACGCAGATACCTATGATCAAATATAGCTAACCTTTTCATGCAATCTACTTTCAGTGGTGACGTCTCATAATTATAAAGGAGGATGGAGCAAACTGCTGAGTAGTGCACACATCCTTTGACGATAGCCGGACATTGTATCTGCGCTGAGATTTCGTCAAAAATCGGCCCTTTAGGGCTGATGCGACTTCCTAAATAAGCGAAATGGTCACCACGCTCCGTTACTTTACTTCCTATCCTTGAGCTTTGAGTCTGTGTAGTCTAATCCTGCAGCATTATCTTTAATAGAAGTGAATCGCAAGCCAAAAATTTTCCCTGGTAACAAGTCAATCTCTAAGTCACTAAAGTCAGTTAGGGTCCATTCTACTGATATATCTATGATGAAATCAAACAAAATTGCACATCCCTAAAGGACACCACAACTAACCCTTTTCCTTGGAATCTAATTACATAAATGATTGTGATAAGCATAACGCTGATTATGGTGAAAAAGTCGTTCCATATTCAAATGTGTGTGTGTACGCACTGTAACCAACTAACTACTTCTATCTGCCTTAAGAATCAATGTAGTATCGAACTCTCATGGCACCTAACTTACAATGATACTATTCTTTATTGTAAAACAAAAAGAACTCAGAAATAAGTCTTTAAAAAATAGTTACCTTTTCACCATGGGAATTTTTTTCTTCCAATTATTAAAAGTCCCGCTAATATATATCTCTTTACCGCCACCATTCCATCGAAAAACAGTTGGAAGTTTTAATTCATCTACCTTTTTAGCTGGTAGAGTTTTTGCACGATAATGTCTTGGGATTGCATTTTCAGCCACCTGCCGGTGATCAATGCCGTATATAATTCGTTCATCTGCAGAACTAGATAGGCCAGCAGCAGTAGTAGACGGTTGTTGTGAATAACCAACTGAAGAATACTTTTCCTCCTCATATTCACCTTCATTGTCATTACTCTCTGTCGGTGACATTACTATGCCTCGAGGATGTAATAAATGACGCTTTATCTTGTCAGCGTCATCTGCAACCGTTTGACCAATAGGTTCACGAAGACTTGCTGCACGTAACATTGAGGTAGCTTCATCAATAGAAATAGCATCTTTATCATCGCAAGTTGTTGACATGATCTCATCAAGATAATCAGCTGGAGCAGATTGGGATAAATCCTAAAGAGGAAAGTGTCCAGTTGAAAAAAGAGAGAGTACTTACCATTATTATTTTTATCAATAAAGAAAACCGATCATTATAAAGAAAGTAAACAATATAGAGATTTGTGTGGAACAAGCAACTAGATTCTTCTGACTGTCTGATGATAGATTAATCACAGATTTCAAGTATCACAATTGTACAACTGAATCGGCTAATTACTTTTGAGAGAGTGCAAAACAAGTGTATTTGGTATCGACGACAACCGATCACGTACACATGCACACACATACAGAAAGAGTATCCAATCGATTGTGAACAGAATAAATAAATTAAAGTACTATGTAAAACATTCTTTCCAATTGTTAATTAGGTCAGTATTCAAAAAAACAAAAAAGGGTTAATCCGCTAAACCATTGGACAATTTGATTTTTGATTAGTTCAAGGTTGCTTCAAGTAAATGGATGTATTTTTGTCAATAACAGAAACGAAGTCACTCAGTGTGACATAATCTTGTCAAGAGTGTATTATGATATATAGTGAGAAATTTAGAGGGAAAGATAAGAGAGTAGTTCTGTGTGTAAGAGATCAAGGGGTTGAGAAGAGGTATCTGTAGGCATAAGACTAAAGCAGTGTATAAAGTTAACAACAGAGGGGTGTAGTGTGTTGAAGATATATATATATATGTCGCCTAAGTGTTACGTTTAGCGTTAGTGGTTCAGGCACAGAATGTTCATCAGCTACAGGCAGGCGGTCCGCGCTCGATCACCAACTGAGGCTCTTTAAAACCTCACCTAGTCGGCAGCAAGCCTAGAAAAAAGGCATAGTTGAGAATTAGGCTACCAAACCCATCCCGTTGTAAAACTAACACAACCGCTACTGAAACTTGAAGCTCTGCTTTCCACCCAGAAGATAAAGCAGTGAAATTAGAATATTTTGAAAACCCATCTAATTCTGTCAGAAGTTTGTGACCCATAGGCTCCATTGAGATAAAAAGTAACTAATGTTACTGACTAGTTAATAACAACCCTATGTTTCACTCGGAACATAAAGAAATGAAAACACCCTTCGAAGTATGATTTTAAAAGAGGAAGAATGTAAGTGTATACTGTTTATGTAACCCGCAGATGGCGTCGTTCATATCCCATGCAGCAAGTCTGCAGGAATTCGAAGACGCGGTATTATATAACCACACAGATATTATAAGTGATTAAGAAGGATGCGACGAAAAACTAAGAAAGAACCATAATTTTTTTATAAATTACAAGGCTTTGTGCGTCGGTGGCACAGTGGTTAGGGCTCTCGTCGACCATGCACATGGTCCGGGGTTCGAGCCCGCACCGACGCACACCTGATATCTATGGTCGGCCTGTAAAATTTGGGCTACCGATATCCATGCTGAAAATTCCATACTTGTACCGAAAATACAGTGTGGAATCAAGCTGTAAATCAAAATAAAAAATCAAAATCAAAAAAAAAATAAATCCAATGAAAAACGCCCCACCGCATTTGAGCGGGAATATCCAAGAGGCTAGTTAATCAGAAACCGAAATTACATCCGGAACACAAAGGAATGAAGTGTCATTATAAAAGAGGAAGAATGTGAGTATATACTGTTTACCAAGTAAAATAACTGCAATGCAAAGTTAATATCTAAAGCAATGTAATTAAATTTCACTCACTGACAAGCTATGCATATTTCGCCGTTTCATAGGAGGAATTGTAACATTGACGCCTGGTGGTGTACCAATCGAGCTTCTACCGTCAGCATCTCCAGAGTAACGTCTTTTGTGATGAACTGGTGTATTGCCCATAATTAAGATGCCTGACAGTTAATCACAAATGACTCTAAAAAACTGTAGAAGGAAAACTAATAGTAGAAATTATATAAAAATTACACGATATAATATAACAGCTCAGGTCAACAAAGTGAAGTAGGTCAACCAAACATTTCACGTAAATGAAACACATCTCGCTTCTTAGTGTGACTCGCGCCAATAGGAGAGTTATGAAATATTTTGGTGAAGAATCTGAAAACAGATAGCAAAACTAGGAGAGACAATAGACAAAAGCACTTCCATACAATCAACGCTGATAATAATTAGTAAGATGATTGGAAATTTTATACCCTTCATAAGGTGTAAGTCTTTTGTTGATACAGTTGTCCTGTTAAGCCTGATAATAGGCGGCACGGATGAGAATTTTAAAGGCTGGATCGGAAAAGCAAGAGAGACATTCATTAGTGTGAAATAAGTTCGGAAATCTGCTCCACTCAACATAAGGAACAAGATTAGGATTTTCAACACCAATATCAAATCAGCACTTCCTGATGGTCCAGAGATTTGACTAACAACTAACGAAGAACATTTCCAGAAGGTCGCTGCAGACTTTCATCAAAAACTGCCTTCGCTCTCTGCTGGAGATCAGATGTCCAGAAAGGATACGGAGCAAGAAAATCTGTCACCCAACCAACCTAGAACTCACAGTTAAACATATGTGATGATGAAAATGGGGATGGATACGACAAAAACTGAGGAGATCGCTGAATGACACTGCGCACGATACCCTCAAGTGAAACCTGAATAGGAAGCGGCGAAACAGGCGTCCAAAGGTGATGTGGAGAACATTGTGTGGGGGGAAGTAAAAGCTTATGGGCAACCATGGGGCCAAATAAAACAACGACAGAAATATATCAGTTTGAGAAATGACTGATCAACTAACAATTAATAACTAATTTACTCCCATAACCAGACACTGTCAACAATGTTCCATTTAAGAGGCTGAAGTAAAGTAAATTAAAGACGTCTGCCTGCATTCATTCTAGTATTTACAGTGATAACGAAACTGATCACCAGAAGATAACTGATTTTTAGCAGTCAAGAAATAATGTCCCCTAATCTCATACATTGATTACCTACATACTGACACCCCACCACCACCGATGCCAGAACAAAGAGACTGTTCATAGATGATGCAACTAAGAAGACGAATTCTTGAATAGTTTATGGAATTCAGCGCTTACCTACTCATATAATAGAGCTACTAAGGTTAAAATCGTCATCAGGTTGAGACTTTGGTGGATGGAGTATGACAAACAAACGTTAAAAACGGTTGCACTTAATTTTACGGCAAGTAACGCAAAAAGAATTATAGTGATGTCATGCTGTTGTCATTTTACATAACCAACGTGAATGACTACACAGTAAAGTGTTAGAAAACCGCCTTATACTAATAACTTTTAAATAAACGAGTCATTATGTGTCCAGAACTACCTTCTCTTGTGCGAAAGCAAACTTGTTACGATTTATATGAATACATATACATACAAGAATTTTTTCAGACATGATATTTTGGTTTAAAAAGTTACGGTATCAGATAGATAATACATTATTATATGAATAAACTTGAATGTCGAATCGTGGTTTCATAGGCGGGTTCAAACTGTGTGAACTGCTATTCTAAGATAAAAATATGAACCTTGCTAATAATTAGAATCCCACTTGTATTTGTAAATTTCAAAATAAACGTGATACAGACTGTCACGTTATGCTCCTCCACATCACGGTAATCAAGTAATACAATGCAGAAAAGAGGAATGAAATAGTTCGGGGGCAACACAATATAACGGGAAAGGGTGCTTATCACGAGCATTTAAGCTGGGTTTATTAACACAGTAAATAAGATAATACAATAATAAGGAAATTATACCATGATCACCAATGATTTTTATTTTGGGTCATTTGATGGGGCATCCAGTAAGTGAGTCGCATGATCTTTGTCACAACAACAAAGGAGTCGTGATCCACTGACAGATGCTAGTCAAACACAATAATTATTTTTTAGCGCACAGTAAGATCCTGTACATCACCCACATGTTCATGTTTTCAAAGTAGTTACAAGGTTAGTAAGTGATGAACCACAAGGAAATCATTGAGACATTTGTAACCTACATTCAAGCCCCTTAAGCACGGGGTTTAAGATGTCATAAAATGAAAGACAATTCCCGCTTTTCTTCTGAAATACTACACTCCCACTATCGTAGAAAACCACTATAATTCGTCTTCACAAGAGTATAATTAGTACAGTTTTACAGTCAAAGGATGACCACTTCTGGCCTGTTTTAACCACTTCTCAGAATGTTAGTAAATTTAAAATATAGGGAAGAAACACCGTTATATTCCGCTACCGAGTCACGATATATTCAGCTAACCTCAATTCAAATATGGGGTGATATTGTAGGACTAACCACTGTTTAAAGATGACGTGATAAATGATTAGAATCGCAGACGACTTCACATATTCCGGAAGTCGAATGAGGATACTGATAAAACTATACACAAATGTAAACCCCAAGTCATGTCATTTCTCGAGGAGACATGACGTCCGTCCACTCAACAAAACGGATCACTACTGAGGAACATGTCATCCTGTCTTATTTTACAGTCCCAAAACACCTGCCAAAAGTGGAACATTAAGGTTTACAAGCATTTGACCGCCGTCCATCTTACGTGAAGCAACTTCACACGCAATCATAAAACAGGCGAATTTCGTATGAAAGGCAAGTCAGGGAATGAAGTTGAGAATAATCCCGAACTATAATAAATAGAATAAATGCCGAGCCACTGGTTTCCCTCACTAGATATGCTAGCTGAAGTATGGTTAGGTAAGAAGAATATAATTTATAATCACATACACATGGCATCAGTCCATGATATCATTGACTTCTGACCTCAGCTACGCATGAAAGTATGTTGCCTGGCTGAGTCGTCAAGATACTGACTCAATCTTCAAACACTGGTGTAATGAATAGAAACCACCAACAATGGGTTATGCTAATCCAAACGTCTTCATCGAAATTATGAACATATTCACTACTTATTTAATTACTCCATGGCGCGAACCTCTATTAGAATGCCATTATACTTCCTCCTTTTTGTGATTTTTTGAAGTGTGAACAAAATGACTTGTTGGTCAATCATTCAGCCAATGAAGTAAATACGTATTTATCTACAAAAATGTTTTGTGTACATGAAGATAACATCCTATCGCAATGAGTAGTAGCCTACACTTCAGCGGCAGACAATCATTTTGTACAGTACATTCGGAAAGCAGTTCAAAAATCTACTGACAAACATCATGAATAATTGGTCAATATTGGACGGCATTAATATTACACCGAGAACATCAGGTAAAAACTAATTCCTACGCCACGAACTTTACTTTCTGTTGAAGTTAACTTTACCATAAAGCTGCCCAAGCTGAGATAAGTGAAGCGGAGATTGAATTCCTGTCTCAATGTTTGTCAGTCTCAAGTAGAGAACCAAGTCAGATAGAAAAAGGTCACATCAATTACTATCCAAATTGTTTATTACTGCACGACGGTGATACTCAAACAACGAATGCTAGTTCGCAATACAAACGAGCTAAAACAATTTCGTAGTGAATATTTACACAGCCCAATGAAACCACTGAAGAAATCACCATACATCCTGAGTGAATAAGAAAAGGACCTCAAGCTATTGGGTTTTCGGGTGGTGAGGTCTCGGAAACCGATGCTGCCGAGACCTCTCTTCATAAGCCGTGTGAACACGTAGGTGTTTCGGTGTGCTATATGAACGCATGTAGTCTTAGGAACAAGCTCGCCGAATTAGGAGAATTATCTGAAAGACTACAACCTGATGTGATTGCTATCACTGAGACATGGTTGTTAGTGGTTGTAGACTTAACTCCACTCATACCTGGGTATATCTGCATACGAGCAGACAGAGTAAGTAGTCGGAAAGGTGGGGGGTTGCTCTATACATCCGGGATGACATAGGGATAAGGTCAACATTGTCAGAAGCTCATGACAGCGGCACCAGTGAAGCCGCAAGTTGCATCATTGCAACTTGAACAAAGGCACTTTAACGATCGGAATTATCTACAGAAGTCCTGCTAGCCAAGCTGATGACTTCGTTCTAAATCACTCGAGGGCGTGGGGTAGTAGAAATAGGTGTCTGATTGTTGGCGACTTTAACGCTCCACATATTAATTGGGGGGAATTAAACTCCACTAGTTTGTATACCCGTTTCAATAGGGAGCTCACATTGACAGTGCTTGAATGTGCACTCGTGCAACATATGGATGCACCAACACGGTATCACCCTGAACATGATCCATCTACTCTAGACTTGGTATTGAAGGAGGACGTTGGTAACATTAGGTGCCTTCCGCCACTTGGCAGCAGTGACCACATAGTCATTGCTTTTACGTTTAGGATTCATTCTCTCATACACAGGTCAAAATCTGCTCGTCCAAACATTTGGAAAGCGGATATACAAGGAATCCGGAACGCAGCAACTGCGGTTGACTGGTCAGTTGATACAAGTCGGACTGTCGAGGAAGCTTGGGTAGGATTTAGGAATACACTAGATAGTGTCACTTCACCTTTTATACCTTGGTACACTCCTCGAAAGCTGTTGCATGAACCACCTTGGATCACTAGTGAAATAAGGAGGTTATTAAGACGGCGAAAGAACTTATGGGACCAATTTGTTATGACAGGAAGGGAAAATTTCCAGAAAGACTACCGCAAAATTCGAAACCTCTATAAGTATGCGATTAACGAGAGTCGTATAGAGTACGAGAAACGATTAGTACTAGATTGCGTTCATTACCCAAAAAGGCTTTACTCGTATATTAAACGTAGGACTAAAACTAGCAGTGGTATACCGTCACTCGTAACCATTAGTGGAGAAGCGGCTGAGTCAGACGAAGGAAAGGCTGAAAACCTCTCTGAATACTTCTGTGACGTCTTCTCGTCTGATAGTACCACCCAGGGATATGGCGAGGTCACTGCCATCGCCACTCAGATGCCCTCAATTGTGGTAGAACACACAAAGGTTCTCAAACTACTGTCTAAAATGAAGCCAGGTAAATCACCTGGGCTGGATGGACTTCACCCTAAGCTGTTAATTTCCTTGGCGGATATAATATATATTCCACTTACGGAGATTTTCCAAATGTCTCTGACGTAAGCTAAGCTGCCTAGGGACTGGAAGGATACCATTATAAGCCCTATCTTCAAAGACGGGGATAGGCAATTGGTATCTAACTACAGGCCGGTAAGTCTGACATGCATTATTGCAAACGTATTGGAAACTATTATAAGGGATCAACTATTAGCTTATGTTGAAACACATGGCTTGTTGGTTGTGGAACAGCATGGATTCCGACCAGGACGATCCTGCTTGACAAACCTACTTTTGGCTAGGGAAGACTGGGTTGAGGCCAGAGATAGGAACCATCTGTTGGACGTAGTTTTTATTGATCTTATCAAGGCGTTCGACAAAGTATCCCACTTAGGTCTCCTTAGTAAACTTATAGGTTTCGGATTAGACCAATGCCTATGTGAGTGGTTTAGAGATTACTTAATGGATAGAAGGTAGAAGGTTAGAGTTAACGGTGTACTATCAGGATGGAAAGCAGTATCCAGTGGAGTGCCCCAGGGAACTGTATTAGGTCCCTTGCTATTCCTATTATACGTTAACGAATTACCGGGGATTCTTTCCTCATCTTCATTATTATTTGCAGATACCCGACCGAAAGCGTCTGGGAATCAGAAGAAGTCCCATCGGGTTGGTGTAAGTCACTGATTATCCCCATATACAAGAAGGGAGACAAGTCTTCCTGTGATAATCACAGAGGGATTAGCTTGACCAATATAGTATCTAAAGTCTTAGGCTCAATAATCATGCGTAGACTGAGTGGTGCTCGGGAAGCACAAACACGAGAGAGCCAGGCAGGCTTTAGACCAGGAAGAGGGTGTATTGATCATATCCTCACCCTCCGACAGATTCTAGAACATAGGCATTCCTACCGGCGTCCAACAGTCATTATATTTCTTGACCTAAAGGCAGCATTCGACTCTGTCGATCGGGAAGTTCTCTGGAGATGCTTGGCTGTAAAGGGAATTCCAAGAAAATATATTGCACTGATTAAGGCACTCTACTCGTACTCATACAGCCAGGTGAGGGCTTACGGCGAGCTGTCATCTGAACTGATGACGACCAGTGGTGTCCGTCAAGGATGCCCATTATCTCCTTTTCTATTCAACTTCATCATAGATGTGTTAATGGACTTAACCCTAGGTGACTTCAGTGACTCAGGGATTGACTTGCTACCGGGGAATAATCTCGTTGACTTGGAATATGCAGACGATATAGTCCTTCTAGGCGAAGACGCTGACGAAATGCAGAGTCTTGTAAACACCTTGAGCCGCAATCTACGAATGTTTGGCATGAGATTCGCTCCCGCCAAATGCAAGATGATGTTACAGGACTGGACTACATCGACGCCTAGTTTAAAAATAGGAAGTGAAGTGGTAGAGCACGTTGACCGCTTCACTTATTTGGGAAGTACCATCAGCCCCAACGGGCTGATCTCTGACGAAATCTCAACACGAATACAGGGGGCTCGTTTCGCATTTGTTAGTTTACGCCGACTCTGGCGTAGACGAGATGTTCGACTATCGACCAAAGGGCGGGTGTACTGCTCATCAGTCCGCTCCGTCCTCCTTTATGGTTGTGAGACCTGGTCACTGAGAGTGGAAGACATGAAAAGGTTGGCTAGCTGTCTTTGATCATAGGTGCCTGCGCTCTATTTCCCGTGTGAAGTGGCATAATAAGGTGAGCAACATGGAGGTTAGGCGTAGAGTTCTAGGTAAACAGGGGAAATCAATCGACGAAGTCGTGAAGCTACAAAGACTGAGATGGTTAGGACATGTGTTACGTATGCCAAGCCATCGCCTCCCTCGACGAGCAATGTTAGCGGATATAGGGTCAGGCTGGAAAAAAGCTAGCGGCGGTCAAACAAAAACTTGGCACCAGTCAATGAAATCCACAACAGTTGGTCTAAGCCACGTAGGAAGGTGTAGACTTCCAGGCTGGGGTCCTCGGGACGGTAAAAATCTATGGTTGGAAACAATTGGTGACATGGCTCAAAACCGTTCTCAGTGGCGCAGATGCATCCACTCCCTGTGACTTATGATCTTCAATGAAACTGTTTTGTATTTCTTTATTACTCCTTTGTCTCACACCTCTGCTCACTGTTTCTATTATGCTTTTCTTGTACTTTCTTCTCTTGCTTCGCGTGCTACACGGAATGTGGCGACTTGAACTTCCGCACATTTGTGCAAAGTTCTATGTCGAAAACAGACAGACAGACATTTGCAGATGACATTAAGATATGAAAAACTGTAAATAATAACGAGGATAGGTCGGCCCTACAAACTGGTCTAGATAAATTAGCTGAGTGGTCAAGCCTATGGAGTTTGGAAATGAATGCTAGGAAAAACGCGGTAATGCACTTACGTCAGAAGTCTTATACGTCGTACTCCCTAGGGGACGCAGAACTACCTGATGTTAACGAACAGAAGGACCTAGGAATCATTGTCAGCAATGATTTGAAAACAACTGCAAATTGCAATGCAGCCTCAGCTAAAGCTTTTCGAATGCTATGGGCAATTCGAAGGGCTTTCAAACGATTAGACGAGGGCATGTTCCAAATACTCTACGCAACATATGTCAGGCCTCATCTAGAATACTGCATACAAGCGACGAGTCCACGCTTCAAAAAGGAGGCACATATTCTAGAAAGAGTACAGAGAGTAGGAACAAAATTAGTTAGTGGTATCTCACACCTTCCTTATGATAAGAGGATGGAGCATTTAAATCTCTTCCCGTTATCATACCGAAGGAAGAGAGGCGACTTAATTTTAGCATACCGTATACTTAAGGGTGATTTAGGAAGTGACCTTTCTAACCTTTTCTCCCCTTCTAGGATACATTTACGGGGTCACCGCAAAAATGTGCTCAAACCGAGGACGATTAAAATACGTGCAGAATTTAGATTCTCTCACAGAGTGGTCAACGATTGGAACTCCTTACCTGATTCAGTAGTATCAGCTCCATCCGTGAACGCCTTCAAAGAGAAGTTAGATCTCTGCAGAGATATACTTTGCAAGGATTAACACAGGCCACAAGAGCCTTCTACCCATATCATATGAATCTGATGAAGATTTCTATTATTCAGATTTCAAAAAGACACTTACTACAAACTTCCCACTCAACCTCCAAAGTATTCCAGACTCTCTGATACCAACATGCTCATAATTTCCAAAAACATTTACCTTTCGTCCTAAATAGAGAAATTTAAGTAGGGGCCGAATATTTTACCGGGGTATTCGATGGACAAAACAGTTAACGAGCCAGACAATATTTCCATGCATTCGCGATTTTCGGAAACTTATTGAAGGAAACAATATTTCAAGGACCATGCTGAAGTGTTCAAATTAACAGTAATGCCGAAATGCTTTATAAAGAAGACCTTAAATTTGCTAGGTTTCCGTTAGTGAATAGAAATGTCCTTAAAAAGCCATTTCTGATTACGAAACAAATTTAGGTCATTCTGATTTCGTTATTTCAGCACGTAATTTCGGGCAAATTAATGTAAATACATGCATGCAATTGGCATTCAGCCTGAGGATTCCATTATTATGCAAAAAATTTGACTGAGACTTTATAAGTTTTAAATTTTATGCTCCAAGTGCATGAGTTAGCGACCAGGCATATTATTACACATTTTCGGGCGTTCGGGTAAACCTGGAGTTTCGGAGAAAATGCCAATATTTTGGTCCATTCCTCTAGAGTTTTTAGATTAAGCTGCCGCAAATATGCCAAAATGTTTAACATATGGGAGTGAAACCACAAGCACCCTCTCATTAGAATTACGTATTGTGACACATATTCATAAGGACAGAGGCCAAAGACTTACTAAGAAGGGTTTTAACTCTTAAAAGACAAATACTATGGGGAAAAGTATATATATGTGAATACCAACCTCGCTAACCCCGATCGTATTCCCGCCTTACAAAAGCTAGCTAACCTTGTAGGTCACAAACACATAAACTAAAAGTTGACGTCATTCAAGGGTCCTCACTCGGAATTGTGAGGTTAGTAGCTTCGCTCTATCTTAAGTACTTCAGTGTAACTGCACATAGGTGAAAATCATATTTCTTGATTTCTTAGTTTAGTTGTAGTTGTCTGTCGGCACTTACTAGTGAACCTAAAGTTGGCTTGCACTGCAGCACGTATTGGAATGTAGGTGACGAAATATCCCCAAAATTCACAACAGCATAATGACTTTATATAGGGGCGAGAGACCTAAAAGTTCGTCTAACGGAAACAATGAATCAGACGTGCCCTTCGGTTCCGCGTCATTATCTTTATAGAATGATATTTTTGTGAGGTTAGCAGTCATTTTTATCTCGTTTCTCAAAGCGGGATGAACGGGAATAGCTTACTATAATTCGAACACTCCCCTACATTCCTTGTAACGCCAGTCTTATACATGCACTCCACTTTGCATATCAATGAGTCCCATTGACGATCCAGACTTAATTCTGAACGTTAGCTGATTGTCAGTTAAATAGAAGGCCACTCTGGAAAGTTCTGCCATTGCGGACAACCTTTGAGGAGTATGTTAAATTGGTACACCCTTAATGCTTCGCCCAATATTCATTGGATGGTCTGTCTCCGAAATTCCTGCGTGTAGATGCAAACCTGTACAGAAGGCGTGCCCATCCAAAAATGAAATGATTACCGTTTCCTTTTCCGCCTGATGGATAAACTCATATCTTTACAAAAACTTCTTGATGCCGTTCCGATTTTTATTCATGCAAAATGCAATGCTTGAATAAGACGGAAAAGAATTCAGCAGCTTCAGTAAGTATTTTGAACCCTCCTGTATGGCGCTGCAGTTCAGAGGTAAGCTTCGCCGCAACTTTTTGGCCCTCAATTGGATTCATCGTCATCAGTAACCCTCAAACATTTTAAAGTCAATATACGACCACTTCTCGGAAAGTTTCTGCAGGGAGAGAAATAGTTTGGTTTTGAAATGGTTCCAGATAGTAAAGACTCAAATCGTTCGGTACTTGTTCTGAACGACCTACTATCCTCATCCGAGTACGGTTTCTTAAGTAGGAGGTCATGTATGCTTGCCACTCAGATTATTTTGACTACATTACACAATGCACAGATAGTGAGGATTCAGTAATGACATGATTTTTCGACTTTAGCATGGCCTTTATTAATGTCCTATATATATGAGACTCCTAACAAAACCTGAATCCTACGGAATAACTGGAAAGCTTCTCAAATGGATAAACTCTTTTCTCACAGATAGAGAGTAGTTAGTCAAAATCAACCACCACCTCTCTTCACCAAAGCCGAGAACTAGTGTTGTAATACAAGGAAGCGTTCTTGGCCCTATTCTATTCCTCTTATTCGTAAATGACATAGTCTCTGTAATCGAGTATGGCAAGCCATACCTCTTTGCTAATGATCTCAAGATAGTATATTATTATGGGTACCATGACTTAAGCGTCGAAAATAAGATCCATAATAACTTAATGTAGGTGGTTGGAGCGAAAAATAGCAACTAACTTTCAACCCAGGCAATTGCGGTATAGCCCACTTTGGACACTGGAAATCCATAATATGCACATATATGTATGGTAACCTCCTCTCAAAACGGAACACAGTCACAGACCTCGGGATAATATACTCAGATTTAACCTTTTCTGATCCTGCAAATAAAGTAATACCGGACTGTAAACGACTTACTGGCTTTGTATTCCTCATCTTTTTACACCCAAGAAGCAAGGTTAACTATTTATAAGACATGTATTCGCCACAAATTTGAATATTGTGCTATCCTGTATATAGTGACCTAAGGTCTGTAGACCAAGAAAGGTCGAAAGTGTCCGGGGAATTTCTGAAGAAACGCATTATCGGGTTTGACCAACAAGTGAAATATGTTGACAGGTGTATGCGACTGAAATAAGAACCCCGATGGTTATAAGGAATAAATAAATAAATAAATTTATTCTCATGATACAGCACATGAGGGACGCCAGTTTACAGGCATCATCAAATTGTTACAGAAATAAAACCATTTTATTTAGTCACATTTTACAATCGACAGCAAAAATGTTTAACATGTACACTGGAGATTATACATACACTTGATAAATGTTAATTCTAATAGTATAAAACATCCTTTTCACTTATGTACAATCATTTATGTGCATGGTTGGAAAAATCCCCTAGATTGTCAATGAGTGCAACACATCAGGAAATACAGAAGTATTGTCTTCGCATTAACAAAGAAACCAGGTCTTTGGTGGATGGGTTATAAGTGCCTGGGAAAAAAGATAAAGCTTGAAGTCAATTTTCGTACGATACTTTTTTGTGTGCATGGTCCTTGATTTATAGTTCATTGATGTGTTATTTTGAAATCAGTGATATGTTTATCTCATTTGACCTGCTATGTCATTGTTGGGAGTAAAATACATAAGCTTTAGACGCATTAATTAATGGATTTCTACTGCTTGTGGGTATTTACTCCTCGTGAGGATGGTTTTTGAATTTTAGTTGTTCCGACAGGAGTTGTGGATATTGACTGCTCAGCAACATTACGGATATAAGTTCATCACATTATCTCAGGAATGTTGGGTTGTAGTTGGTGAGGCATATATGATGTTTGACGAGCGTACATCTGTCCATGTGATGTTGTGGTTAGCTGTATCTTTTTCGTGTTGTCGGTTTATGTCAATTTTATTCCACTTATTGTTTTGGGTAGAAGTTTTACAAACGAAACTTCTTGTCTGTTTGACGGTAAGTATCTTAATCGTTAATGTTTTATCTAAAATTATAATTATGGGCAAAAACAACAGGTGTAGTATTTGAGCTTATACATTAAATGGACCTATAATTTCGGAGGCTCTCAGATAGGAACTAGGGCTACTGTCGTTTGCAAACTCGTTTGTCGTTAAGCACTTTTTTGAATGAGGCCAATGTACCTGCTTGACGCATTTCCATTGGTAGTTTATTCCATATCTGTGCATACCTAATCAAATAAAACTTTTGCCTGGTAGCTGTTTTACATTGTTCGATAGCTACTGTACCCTTAGTGTGTCTTAGTTTGCAGCCACTGTCATCTGAAAGTCGAATGCCATTAGTAGAGGTAAAAACTAAGTGGTTTAGAAGCTTATAGTAAAGTGTTAAGTTTAGTCTCAGGCGTCTTAGCCATAGTGTTTCTAATCCTAGGGTGTCACATCTAGTGTAGTGCTTTTGCTCCTACCATCTACAAGCCTGTTCAGCTTCTTGTCAAGTTGTTATCCATTGGGCCCTACAGAAATTCGTGAGGCATTTTACAGGCAAGCTTGTCCTACGAGTTCTAATTTTCCAGATCTTTTAATTCACTCCTCACTTAAATATCACTTACCTACGTCACAATAATCTTTTTATTTACGCACTATTATACTCTACTTTATGTTAACCACCTAGGCCATTATTAAAGTTAAAAATTTGTTCATATTTGTTGCTTTCCCAAAGTCTGGCTACTTTGATTAAAAACACAACAACATCAATGTTTGAACAAAGCAATATCTTCATCGAAAACATCATAGTTTCCATGCTTAGACCAGTGTGGCTAACATTAACATTGCAAATGTATACTATCATTTCAAGTACTATATAGCTTCTTGTATATATATTGTGAATATACTTCCAATAGTTTATTATTCATAATTGCATTTTATACCATTTTGCAGCTGCACAGAATTTTCTTCTCTTCCTGAAATAGCGTTCAATCACGTGGTGGCGTAGCACTCACTCAGATATACGCTATTCACTGGTTGACCATAACTATCAGCAGGAAACGGAATGAACTTTGGGTTGTCGATCTACTTTGGTGGTGACCTTGGTAAGTGGTTTACAATTTAACGTTTATGAGAACCTGTTGTGACTGCTTGTACAATAATTTAACTATCTAAACTTTTGAAAAAGTGTTAGTTTATGATACTTCAAGATTGTAATTTTTAAAATAACTGACCGTTTCTTTAAAGAATACATGCATTTCTTGTAAACTTACCCGTTTATACGAAATATAAATTATTATTATTGATAAAGTTATTTAGAATGATCCTGAAAGAAGCGCTGGTTAACAGAACTTGTTATGCCCAATTTTCATGGACGATTTTTGTGTGGTATGCGCTAGATTTTGCAAAGTAACCAATCAGTTTGTGTTATTGAATAAAAAAATACTACGAAATGTTACAAAATTATACATTTTAGAAAAGTATATGGGAAAAGGTAGTTATTGGTTAAGTAAAGTCATTTCGACAGAAAAAACAGCAGTGTATTATATAATATCAAATCGTAGATTGTCTACAAGTTAATAATGTTTCAACAGTTAAATGTTTGATATATATATATATAAATACACTCATTGTCTGAACTAGGCTGTATAGTTATTGAATTGTACAATTGTCCTCCAGGTTGAGCGGGAAAATCGACTTCGTTTCGTTTTCATCCCGTGGTTGTCGGCATACGATAACCAACCAATATTGAGGTAAGTACAACGTTTACAACGGATTGAAAGCTGTTTTTAGAAAAGTAAAAGTGCTAAGGTGAATCAATAAAGTGTAATGAAATGGGTAAGTGCAAGTATCACTAATAAATGCATTAATAAAGGAAACTCCCTAGGCTGACAACGTTCATTTGCAATGTATAATGCTACCTGTACAGTTTGCACTATCATGATGTCCACTTTTGGTTTTAATACATTTTTTCCTTATGTCGGTTTTTTTATTTTATGCCTTTTTGTGCATTTGGTGCACAACCGTACCTCACAGAGAATAGGAATAGAATAAGTCGAATCAAATTCATAAAGAGCTATAAAATGTTAGGTTTAATGGGATACAATGAGGATTAAGTAAAGACGTTATTAGAAAATGAATGAGATAAGACATTGTGAAGTGGTATTTAAAGATCCGACAATGGACAGCAAGTTGATTTATAAGATGCCCCATAAATCTGTGCAGA